TGAATCTCAGAGACTCTGTGCCAAGACTTTCCTTGCACAGCTCCTCATTTGGAAAATATTGACATGGCAGCTTTCCAAGCTAGATAAGGTCTGTGGTCATAAATTCACCTTTGAAAGACTGTTTGCCAGGCCTTGGCTGAAGGTGAATGAGAGGAATTCACATTCGTTTAATAAAAGGGGGGTTTTCAGGACAAGGAATCTGCTTCGTGCTTCTTGGGGAAGCCCAGGTAAGAACAGAATGCCAGCTGCTATTCTGCTGACTTCTTCATAAGCAGGACCTGAAAGATTGGTTCATAAAATGCTAATATATTTTCTTTTTAGCATCTGTGTTTCAGGAAGTCAGACACCATAACTCCTGGAGCTGGGATTTGAGGTGCTTGGAAAATAAATCACTGATAATGTGTGTTCTCTCAAAACAAGGAGATAGCAACATTGGTTCCATGTTAAGTGAAGGAAAATGGGCAATTAGCTTTGATGCTTTTCAGAGATGTTTGAACCTAGAACACCTCCACAATCTACCCTCAAACTCCAACAAGATGATGCAGCTTCAGCTTCAACTGAAGTCAGTTCTCAACCCAAGAGGAAATGTGTGCATTCTTCTTTCCGTTTATGAGAAATGACAACAAGTTAGCCCATGTGGAAGGATCCAAGCAAATCTATTTGACACGCAATGCTACACAGCCACTCAACATAAACACAGTCTACCCAGCCCTTCAGGCCGTTACATTAGACAATAAGCAAATGCCATCCTAAATAAATCTCTCCAAAATGTAGGCATGCCCAGGAAGAGGAAAGCAGCGGGAGAAAGTTCATAAGATCAAAACTAGAGAGAAGAGATCAGATGGAAAGCGAAAGGATTGAGCCTTTTACCCAGAATAAAACAGGAGGTAGGAATTTCTGGCAATGAAATGTTTCTGCTTCCAGAAACAGAAGCTTCAAATTCCGGAAAAAGACTTGAAAGCCCCCAGACCTGATTTCTAAAGATGAAAAGGACGTTGAAAAAAGAGCACCTAAAAATATTATAGGATTTATGAATACGGACAGATTAATTTCTTGGCTCAGAACACANAAAAAATCTGGGCTCAATTTGTGGCCGTATGCTGAGGATTACCTGTGCTGCGTTGTAAGTAGGACATCGGACGACCGAGGGCAGATTTGGCATAATCTACCACAATTTGCAACTTTTCTCTCTGTTTCGGAAGTGCCAAAAACTAATTGTGCGTTGTGTTGTTTCTTCCCTTAGTGTGTGGACAGCCCAGCCGCGCTCTGCCCACTTTGGTCAAGAGGATAATCGGCGGGAGAAACGCAGAGCCTGGTTTTTTCCCCTGGCAAGCTCTGATCGTGGTGGAGGACACTTCGCGGGTGCCTAACGAACGGTGGTTCGGGAGCGGGGCCCTCCTCTCCGAGTCGTGGGTCTTGACCGCCGCCCACGTCCTCCGCTCCCAGCGACGGGACAACACCCTGATCGCCGTCTCCAAAGAGCACGTCAACGTCTACCTGGGCCTTCACGACGTCCGGAACAAAATCGACGCGGTCAACCGGACGGTGGAGAAGATCATCCTCCATGAATCCTTCGACATCCAGAATTACAACCACGACATCGCGTTGGTCAAGCTGAAGGAGAAGGTGGCCATGGGGCCTTACATCATGCCGGTTTGCCTCCCCCAGGATCCACACGAATTAGGGGGACCTCAAGCCAACACGCTGGGCTTGGTGGCCGGTTGGGGTATCTCCAACCCCAACGTCACGGTGGACGAGGTGATCAGTTCTGGGATGCAGACCTTGTCGGACGTCCTCCAGTACGTGAAGCTACCTGTGGTCCTCCACGCGGAGTGCAAGACCAGTTATGAGTCCAGATCTGGCAACTACAGCGTGACGGAGAATATGTTCTGCGCCGGTTATTACGAAGGAGGGAAGGACACCTGTCTTGGGGACAGCGGCGGTGCGTTTGTCATCCGAGACCTGGACAATCGGCGGTGGGTGGCCCAAGGATTGGTCTCCTGGGGTGGACCAGAAGAATGCGGCAGCAAGCAAGTCTACGGGGTATACACCAAGGTATCCAACTATGTTGACTGGCTGCAGGAGAAGACAGAGTGGACATTCCTGAATTCCAGTCTGGAGAAGAGATGAATTGCGCTCAACCCAAGGACTGAACCTGTGTTTGAAGGACGTCAAGCAAGCTCAGCGACATTCCAAGTTCTTTGAGGGCATTCTGGACAGGGAGGAAGATCTGGAGATCTTTCCTCCTTGCATGGAATTTCAGACACTCCAACTGTAAGAAGAAGAAGCAACATTACCCCATTGCCACCAGGCGAACGCCAGAAAGTGTGGTTGGCACGCATTGAATGGCGCCCATGGCATCGTTTAAAACTTTCTTCCCAGCTTTTCGGTGTTGGCAAAGGGACAACTTAAAGATGCGCTGAATTTTGTCATTTTGTAGACAAGGGAAACTTAAGACGGGTGATTCAAGATGGGCTAAGACAGAGGTCTTCAAACTTGGCAACTTTAAGACTTGTGGACTTCAATTCCCAGAAGTTGAATTCTGGGAGCTGAAGTCCTCAAGTCCAATTGAGTTGAAGTCAACTCAATTCTGGGAGTTGAAGTCCCAGAAGTCTCAATTCTGGGAGTTGAAGTCTGGGAGCTGAAGTCCTCAAGTTCAATTGAGTTGAAGTCAACTCAATTCTGGGAGTTGAAGTCCCAGAAGTCTCAATTCTGGGAGTTGAATTCTGGGAGCTGAAGTCCTCAAGTCCAATTGGGTTGAAGTCAACTCAGCTCTGGGAGTTGAAGTCCCAGAAGTGTCAATTCTGGGAGTTGAATTCTGGGAGCTGAAGTCCTCAAGTTCAATTGAGTTGAAGTCAACTCAATTCTGGGAGTTGAAGTCCCAGAAGTCTCAATTCTGGGAGTTGAATTCTGGGAGCTGAAGTCCTCAAGTCCAATTGAGTTGAAGTCAACTCA